GATACCTGGTCAACAATGGAGAGTAAATCCAAGATTACACTGGCCACATCCAGAGGAGCGACGAGAAGATAGACAGCTTTCAAGAGAGTCTTCAAAAAAGAAGGAGCTGATGGTTCCCCCTCTAAAGTTAACATCAAATCCCTTTTGAAGATTTGTGCTTTAACTTTTTGAAGAGCCTCGTCAAGAGGGGAAGTCGAAGTAGATCTTCCAGATGCAATCGAGGCGCTGCGATCAGAGGAACTCTCTCGACCCTATAAAATTGCAGTCAGATAACCTAACGGATTCTGTTGTTTCAGTAAGGCCAAATCCTCCTTGGTTCTGAATCTCGTCGAAGGGATACTTTCGTTGGCTATAACAACCACGTTGGCCACTTGACTTGGAACTATTTCAGTACCTGGAGGATTTTGGTTTCCTTCAGCAAAAACTTCTTCACCCTCAGCTTCTGGGATCTCTACATTTTCCCTCTCTGTTTCAGTTTCGACGCCAGGGATACCTTCCTCCTCAGTCTCTTGCACTTCGACAAATGGAACCCTAATCTCCTCTTGGTTTCCTGCAGCTTCTTCTTTATCAGCCTCTTCTATGATTTCGTGCTGGGGTTCAGAAGTCTGATTTACTTCGTCAGCTGAACTCATAAAGGCGTCTTTCGCTGAAGAGGGCCTATAAGTAGGATCCCCTTCGCTATTCAAGAGAGTGACCGAATCCTCGACATGAGTAGGAATTCGTGTGGAAGTGCCAGCAGTGTCCTGGAAAATAGAAAGAATTTGTTTCTTTTAGAATCCTCACAAAGCAAAAGAGAATGGAGGAATAAATAATAAGCAGTCGAAGTAAATACCTGGACTGGGATTTCTGCACCAGGACTAGAGTTGTCACTTTCGCTGGGATTGTTTAACCTAGCGATTACCTCCTGTTCAATAGGTTCATTGATGATTACAGGAGGAAGCCTCCCAGCTGTAGTTTTAATCCTAATTTTTGGATGGGGTTCGACGGCAGGAGCTGGTTTTTTCAATCTTCGTCTCTGCAAAGGAACAGGAGGGGACTCATATTCTTCTTCATCGCTAGAGATTTGGATCTCTTGAACCTTCCGTTTTTTAGGGGTAGGTTTCTGAATACCCAGGAAATCAAGTCGAGAGGATCAATACCTATGTCAAATAAAACTAAGGGTAAGAAGGAAAGATAAATACCTTAGGAGAGGGGTTGACAGCAGAATCTCCCCCTTTTGTACTCTCAGCGGTTTTCTTCGAGGTGACCCTCTTGACAGCTAACCAGAAGGCAAAACAACTATAGTTAATTAAGTGTCGAAAAACAAATCTAAGACGAAGAGATGGAAAAAAGGATACCTTTCTTGACTCTGTCGAGAACCAGCTTGAACGCCTCACGTAGATGGTGGGAGAAGTCCTTCTCATTGAAGAACTCTTCGTCATAGTACTGTTTCCAACACGCCTCAAAAGTGACGGAACTCAGAAAATGAAGGTTAAAGTCGAACAGGGTCAGTATAGTTCGACCAGAATACCTACCAATGTGCTTGGTAGCGGCATCTTCTGAGTAGTCTGCATTATAAAAAAGCAGCAGCTTCTCTCGGGGATAAATAGGTGAAGGGAGTGATTGAGCAATACCAAATTGTTGAGAGACAAGATTTGGTTGGTAAGCAATTAAGCTCAATTAGTTTTTTTTAGCTCTTGAATCTTAAGGGCATGATCCTGGGGCGCAGAAACGATTCCCACATGCTCACGAACTCATCAGTCACGTCATCCTCCATATCCAAAGGGTATGGTCTGGTGAACCACTCCGGGCCAACTTTTCGATTGGCAAAGGGAGCCATAGTCGAAACAAAGCTCTTTCGCTCCGCAAACATCATTACGAAGCTTGTAAAGGCCTTTTGAAACTGTTGGCCTTCATCAGTGGGAGTTAGCAATGCAAGCCTGGTGCCTTCGAATCTCCTATTCAAGATTTCAGGAGACTCTTTGTTAATCTTGTTCTTTTGGGGGAGGAAAGATTCGAAGGTGGCGTTAAGCCACAGCTGTAGAAGCCAAAAGGGACCAGATAGCAGCAAGCTTCCCCTATCTCCTAGAACCTTAAGTTGAGTCACACCATTACTGATAGACTCATATAAGTTGGCCAAAATCAATTCGGCCAAGCGAAGAAGGTATTTGTGGTAGAGCTGCGTTGCAAGCGTCAACATCTTTTTCGTCACCTGCAGTGATTTAGTACAGAAAACAAAACGAGACAACCACATGGCCAAGAAGGCTATGTGCTCCACCTCCGACACGGTACTTGAGGCTTTGTCATGAAAGTGGTTTATGAAGGTGGTGTAAGTGGGTTTTGTAGCAGCAAACCCAATGGGATCCTCAGACAAGTCTTCAGGGTCGAAATAGTCACCAGTGGGTCGAAGACCAGTGATGGCAGCTATGTCGAATAAAGTGGGGGTCATCATCCCACAAGGAAGATGAAAATTGAAATGTGCGCTATCCCAAAAGTACAATGAAGATATCAGCATAAGATGACAGTAAGGCAATCCTGTCTTCGACAGCATCACTAAGTCATAAATGCCCATCTCCTTCCAGACAGAAGCTTGCACCCTCTCCATTTTATTCAACCAGTCGGAGTATTCAGAAGAAAGGTTAGGGCTTGATTGAAAGATTCGATTCCCTTTGTTCATGAACTGGAGGTTGATATCATCTGTAGTTTGAGGATGTTGCTGGTTAGCCAGTGTAACGTCTTCAGGGTCCGCCTTAGGGTGAGTTGGAAAGAAGGCGCGGTTTTTTAAGGGGTTTTTGACGCATGAAGACAACAGGCCAGATATAGCGTACATTTTTTCATCGTATCTCATGGGAATGAGGAGCTGAGAATCATATTCTTCTCGCCATTCTTTTGTCATAGGTTCAGCAATGTACCTGTTAGTCGAGGAAGAAGGAGGGTTGGTGGAAAAGATCTCTGGTTGTTTTTGAACATCATTAGTGTTTTTTGGTTGAGGATTGTTTGGTGCATTTGATAGGAAGGCCATTGTTGAGGTATTGAGAGGGAAAAACAAAGTTGATAGTACAATGTTGTAAGAAAGCAAGGGTTTGGAAATGCTGAAAATGGTAAAAGTTCCCAATAGAAAGGCTTGGGAGTATTTATAACCTTCAGGAGAGGGAGATGTCTCGTCAAGGGCATTTAATGTTTCGTAGGTAGTGGGGAACTTGGCAAGGCGTGAAATGGTTACCGTGTAAGCATTGGGAAACGTTGGGACATGCTTGCCTAGATTATAGGAATATGGTCATCATGGCAAGCGTGGTAACGACAGTTTTTAAGAGACATCTTGGAGAAAAGTAATGATGGTTTTACCAAGTATAGCAGCTGTTAGAAGGCGAAAAGCATACGTCAAGACTCGGTGGACAACTGGGAAGACAAGTGTCGAATGGGAAGATCAAAGAATGGCTATTTATTTGAGTGTAGAAATAAACATTCTTGGGGGGCAATTTGTTGGCTCCCAAATTCGACACTTACTGTATTTGGTCTTTTGGACCACACAACTGGAACGAACTAAACCAGGAGGTATGAGTCGACACATGAGATAACTTAGGAAAAAGATCTAAGTTATGATAAGAATCTTCGACCAAGGGCTCATTCGACTGAAGCAGATTTATGTTGCTCGACTGAGGGAAAGTGTTCACGCTTTGGAACATGGGACGAAGAGCATTTGAAATTTGAATTATTGGAGGGAAAGGTAGTTTTCAACAACGTCTGAGGAGAGGCAACGTGGCAGAAAGCAATGGGTCGAGAGGCATGCAGAAGACACTTGTCTTTATCCTAGCACCAAAGTCCCCTTGACGGTTACCTACTTTTAGTATAAATTAAGAAGCTTGTGTAATTTTTTGGTGTGTTCAACCTATTGTACTAAATCACTCAAATATTATCCAAGTAACTACTGCGTGAGAAAGGATAAAGCTGAGCAATGTACGTTGGAAACACCTTTCTTCCTTATTAAAAAGTCTTTTTACATTACTTTATCATTATCCTGCAAAGTTACCTTTTTACTTCTTTTACTTGCATTTTTACACTTTTGCTTACTTTTCAACAATCTCAAACATCCTTTCTCAGGGTCGAACATGCGTTCTTCCTTCTTACTCGTTTTACATAAAGATTAGCATATGTTCTGGGATTAGTTTGGTCGATCCCGTAAGTAAACCAAAAACCTTACCTTTTTGGAGATCAGCGATTGTTTACCAAAAACAACGGTAAACACCCTCGTATTTAATTATTTCACATTAGGTAGCAACAATTTTTTGATATAAATATTATAAGTACCTTGTTTTTTAGGACCCCGCAGACAACCATCTACACTCCCCTCAATTCAAGATTATTCATAATATTAGTTAAGTTATGCTACCCAAATATATTTTTTAAATTTTTATTTACAAATTAACTAACTTTCAAAATTATTTTAATTATGATTTCTTATAATTTACGTGTATATACTAAGCATATGGTCTTCAGAGGATGCAGTTGTATCCCTTCAACTTTTCAAATATAAACTATTATAATAATAATATGTCATTTCAATCTTAACCCCCTCCATTTTAGACAATTGGAGAATTTTTTCCCAACATGCCACATCCATGAAAAAATATTCTCAAAATGCCACAGTCTTAAAAAAATTGCCCAGAATGCCACATCCAGGGGGGGTTCACGCCATTTGAAATGGCACGAATGTGGGCAGCAAGGGCTCACGCCAAATCAAATGGCGTGAAAGACCTGTTTAATTTTTTTTCTTCGTTTTCTTACATTTTTATTATTTATATTAATAATTTTAATTATTTAATTTTTTTTATTAATTACAAATAATTTAATAAACTATTTAGTTATAAAATTAATTAATAAAATATTAATTTAAAAATTTAAAATAACTATTTAACAATTACAATATAATAATAATTTTTTTTTATTAAATAATAAAATATCACAATTACAATCAAAGTGCTAAATAAAAAAATACAGTTAAAATTTCACAATTACACTGTTTAATACTGATGACCCGGTCCAAAACGAGTACCAGTAAAACAATAACGCGGTCGCGGAGCACGATGACCAAAACCATATTGTTGTTCGGTCTCTATTGTTGGAGGATTTTGTTGTGTTGCATCTGATGTTGGAGGATTTTCTTGACTAGGAGCTGTAGCTTGTGGAGGAGACCAAATGCTTTCCAGTAAATCATAATCACTGACGTTAAGATCCTCGCCAAAATTATATTGCGGTTGTTGTGGCGGACACATGGTTGGAAAATAAGGTGTTGTAGGGTTATGTTGGGAGGAGGAGGAATCTAAGTTTGGTCGCATGATGGGTGTGAATTGTGTAGTTGGCCTATTATAAGTTTGTGGTTGTTGGGATTCATAAATGTAATTTGGTTGGGAGTGATATTGCGGGTATTAGGTGTTAAAGGTTTGATTTTGGTAAAAATAAGGGGCAGGAGTTTGTAGTTGAGAAAAATGAGAGTTAGAAGTTTGTTATTCAGGATAATGGGGGATGGGTGTTTGTTGTTGGGAAAAGTGAGGAGTTTGTTGTTGGAAGGATTGGGGATGAGGAGGTTGAGAATGTTGTGAGTGGTGAGGTTGTTGAGAGCCACTTGCCTGAGTAGGGGCATATTGATTTTGACGAGGGTCAGTGAGAAATTGTTCGTACGATGCATATCTATGTGGAAGCGAGTAATTCCATTGCATGTACTCATTTGCTGGTTTCTCCTCTGTTTGTAATTGATCTCCATCCAATGTAAAAAATTCTCGATGCAACCAACAGTTTTGTTCATCAGAGTATAATATGGTATATGCTTTTTGGCGCGCTTTTATTGTTGTCATCTTATGGTGTTCAGCCAGGCATCGAGGTTCTTCAGGTATCCCTTGTAAATGGCTAAATTGTAGTTTGACCCTATCTGCTTGATGCATTTCTACAATATGAAAACATATTATATACGTACTTGAATTCCATATCAAACTGTCCTCGTGCCTTTGGGGCGCTAATCCAAGATACGACCTCCAAATAAACTGAAAAGTTATAGATAAAACTTTTTAGTTTAACCAAAATAAAATTCAAAAATAAACTTTTTAGTTTAACCAAAATAAAATTCAAAAATTTATAAGAAGTATTAAAGTGAAGAAAAAAAACCTGATCTTGAAGCATGTGATCAATTATGAATCGGTATCCTCGTAGATGGTGGCGCGGGTTGTTTTGGTAGTCAAGTTTCTTGATGCACCACCTAAAAAGAATTTAAAATTAAATTTTATTTTAAAGTATCCTAACAAATTTAATTATAATTTTAAATTTAAATTAAAATATTACCTTCTTGCGTAAGGATATGGAGCTTGAAGCGGAGCCACCAGAGATATTATAGGCATGCGTGTAAAAGCCCAAGCTTGAAGAAGTAAAACGCATCCTGACATCTCTGTTACTTTTATGTCTACAGACTTGCACATTTCCCTATATAGATTGGCTAAAACGCGGAACCCCAACTCAATTTTCCACAATCTTCCAAATCCACGACAAATTGTGTCCATTTTGAGTGTATAGTATTACCGCTTTTGTTAGGAAACAAAACTTTCCCGATAAGGAGTAAGATATAAATACGAGCATGTTTAATTTTATACTCCTCAGGTGACTCCTCGGTTGGTGGTTCATGTTGGTACATGTCTTTAAGCCATGTCAACCCCGCAGTCATTCCCTTATCACTTTGTGGTGGTTCATCCCCTAAAATAGAACTCCATGCACCACCACCTAGCTCAGATGTACCATTTACCGCTTTACCATCCACAGGAAGCCCCAATAACATACTCACATCTTCCAATGTAATTGTACATTCACCGTTTGGAAGATGAAATGTATGAGTTTCGGGTCTCCACCGTTCCAGTAAGGCTATAATTAACCTTGAATCGATGTGTGTGGACCCTATTGTAGATATATGGTAGAAACCAGATTGATGAAGGTAAGGGATTATGACTGCATGTGGCTTTAGAGGTTTGTGAGCACGAATTCTCCATTTTGAAATATAAGTATCATCAATCTGTAATAGAAATAAGTAATATAGAAAAATATTCAATATTTCTATGCAAATTATGAATAAAACTAATATTGTAAACTCAAAAATAAATAATATGAATAATATTGAATAAATAAAAAATACTTACAGCATTGATATTTTCTACAGTTCCCCTATGTTGTGTACCATACCAGAACATATTGGCCATAATTGTGAAAATGAAGAACTGATTGAAGACTTAACAAAAGAGAGTAGAGAGTGTGTAGTGAATAGAATGTAGTGTGTTTGTGGAAAAATGAGGTGCGAGTGATTGAGTATTTATAGGAAAAATGAGGTGAGAGTGATTGAGTATTTATAGGAAAAATGAGGTGAGTGTGATGATAGTTGGTTGGTAGGTGAATAATTTAATTAATTATGGTTGATAGGTAGTAGAGTAATTTAATTAGAGTTGGTAGGTAATAGAGTTATTTAATGAAAGTTGAATAAATATAAATTTGTATACTTATTGAGAATATTGTAAATTACACAGTTTTGTACACAATGATAAAACTTCATCGGCTGATCTACTGAATCTGACATACAACTCAAAAGGTGTTTTATTAACACCAATTCGAAAATCCTCAAACATGTTAAATACATCTGTATTTGTAACTAACTTTGTAATATGCTGCATCAAGACTCCATTTTCGTTGATTGTAGCCCGATTGAAAGATATCTCTGTAATGCTCCTATTAATATTTGTGACTTGAGGTAATTGATTTTTCAAGTGAATGAGTTTAGGTCTTTCCATAAGTCGTACAACCAAAGGATTAGAAAATGCATTTCTATAATCAAACATAACAACTTGTGAATTATACGGAATAATGTATATTGAGCAAAGTATCAGAGTCATTTTAATCTGAAAACAGAATCGTTTAATGTTTCATTTATATGCATGGCACGTATGCATTCACGCCAGACTGCAAGGCTTCACTCTATTTGAATTGGCGCATAACAAGGGTTCACGCCATTTGACTTGGCGCAAATATGGTATTCACGCCATTTGACATGGCGACTACAAGGGTTCACGCCATTTGAGTTGGCGTGAGTGTACATGGACCAAGGCTTCACGCCATTTAACTTGGCGACAACACAATAAATCCAACAAATTGCAGTTTGGTTATTAATACATGCATGAAATACAATGCAACACGTTGTCTCTTATTCAAACATAGCTGTCTCTTATTCAAACATAGCTGTCTCTTATTCAAACAATTGAATATTACATCAAACACAATGCCACAAAATCATATTTCTTGTTTGTTACATTTCAATGGTAATATTTTTACCGACGAAAATATTGGAGTGGTATTTCAAAATACGGATACACATATTTTAAATATTCATCGAAAAAGTGATTTAGCCCACTTGACGAAAAAAATAGAATAAAATTTACAACAACATGTAACTTCTATTTTTTATCGATTTCCAATAGTTAATCCAGTTGATCACAATGTCACATACAACACTGCAAAAATCGAAGACGATGAAGATGTCCGTTCAATGCTTCAATGCCACTCAAGGTTTTGCAGTCAACAAACAATGGAGTTGTATATTTGTTTTCAACAAATGCATGAAGTATTTCCAACACAATCATCACAAACTCATGTATATCAACAAAGTCAGGTCTCCCAACAAGAAGAGTCTATCCAAGCACAACATAACGAGCCAATATTTCCGGAAGAGGAAGTGGGTGATGATATTGACTCCGGCGATGCCAGACAAATTAATTTGTTTAGTGGGTTCAGTGACGAGTCAGGTGACGATGACAGACTAGAGGAAGAACCAGCTCCTATACTTGATCTATACAACCCACCATATCACTTGAGAAATGTTTCATTTGAATGTGTGGAACCAATTTCAGTCTTTGAACCCTTACACGAACGTGAGTCACGTGATGACTTAAAGGTTGGTATGACGTTTGAAAACAAAGAAGCATGTCTCCATGCAATATCTGAGTATCACATAAAAAATTCTCATACTTTTAAGGTTTGTAAGTCTGATCCGACACGATATTTAATTAAATGTAAAAAGGAGGGATGCAACTTCACATGCAGGGCTTCGTTAAGGGAGGGGTGTGGTAAATGGGTTATTGGCAGAATTGGAGGGACACACACTTGCATGTCGACTGCTATATCTCAAGATCACCAAAAGCTTACCTCAAAGATGATTGCCCATAACATCAGACCTTTTGTTGGCAGTGACACGACAATCAAGGTTAGACATATTATTGCTCATATTCGTACGACTTATGGCTACACCGTGTCTTATAAAAAAGCATGGATTGCAAAGAACAAAGAAATCAAAGATATTTATGGAAATTGGGAGGCCTCTTACAACAACCTTCCGTAGTGGTTGCTAGTCATGCAAAAATTTCTCCCAGGTACCGTCAGAGATCTTGAAACACTTCCTGTATATTCAAATGAAGGAACACAAATTGGTGGTGCAAGAATTTTCCATCGCCTTTTTTGGGCATTTCAACCTTGTATTAGGGGTTTCGCACATTGTAAACCTATAGTGCAGGTAGATGGTACATGGATGTATGGAAAATATAGGGGAACATTGCTCCTGACTGTTGCACAAGATGGGAATGGTAAAATTTTCCCAATCGCATATGCATTGGTCGAAGGTGAGACCGGGGGGCTTGGAGTTTCTTTCTGAAAAATTTGAGACTCCACGTCACACCCTAATCAGACTTATGTTTGATATCTGATCGACATGAGTCCATTAAGAGTGCCTACAATAACCCGGATAATGGCTGGCAGAACCCACCTCGGTGCATGTGTATTGCATTAGGCACATCGCACAAAACTTCATGCGAGCCATCAAGGACAAAAACCTTCGCAAGACAGTTGTTAACATGGGTAATTACTCTCTAATTTTTAACACGACATTTCAATATATAGTTCTTTTATATTAATGTTTTTAATGCTTTTACGCAGGGTACTCAATTAATGAGTCTACATACGCATATTATCGGGAGGAGATCCGCCAAACAAACACAGAGGCTTTTAATTGGATAAAGAACCTTCTAAGAGAAAAATGGTCGCGAGCTTACGACGGAGGAGCACGTTGGGGTCACATGACAACCAACCTTGCTGAATCTTTGAACTCAGTATTGAAGGAAACCCGAAACCTACCTATTACATCACTTGTAAGATCAACATACTACAGGATGGGAACATTGTGGGGTAAGCGAGGAAAGGATTGGACAAAAAATTTGTCATCGGGAAAGGAGTTCACAGATAACTGCATGAAAGAAATTGCAGA